CCCCCCCACACCCCGCACCACTCCCCGAAAACCCCCCCCCCGACGAGACCACCACCGACAACCCTTCCTCCAAATAAAGCCTAGGCCCCACTGCCTCCGGCCTCCTAACCTCCACCCAATCCACCAATCCCCTAAGCCGCCGCTACAATTAATCCATTCACAATTTCAGCAATCTCCTTCAGATCCTTCTTCCCCACATCCACATACTCATAAGGGCACGACAATACGTTCCCGAAATAGGCATCCATTGCTAACCCCAGCCGTTTCCGACCATCCACCATTACCCCCATTTGACTCGCTCGTCTTCCTGCCGCTCGCCCGACTAATTTTCACAAATAGGTCGTAAAGGCCTCGACCTTCGTCCTTCGTTGGTCGCCCTCGGTCGCCATTTTTTGAAGGCGGTCGGTGTTGGCGGCGGTGATGTAGTAAATGCGGCTTTATGTGATCTAGGGATTTGGTCGGTGTTGGGAACTGAGAAATGGGGACGAAGAAGCGGTCGAGTAAAGGTTCGAAGCAGAGGGGGTGTCGATGTTGGGTGAGAAGTGAGCGGCGAAAGGTTGGGTGGTTGAAATTTGTTCGCCGGAAGCCATCTTCGACCAGCCGACTGTGAGACTAATATTGAATTGGTAATTTGAATTGATTGCATAATTAGTGGCTTCATAATAGGCATGAGTTAATTAGTGGAACAAATATAGAAGATATGATCATAGCATTAATTTTGAATTAAATATAGGAGATATGGCAATATCATTAATTTTGAATTTGAATCTTAAATTCAAATTCAAAAATTCAAATATGTGTAATCAATTCAAATAGGCGTGAATTGATGACACTTAATTTTCTTGCCTTTATTATGTACGTTTCCTGTTTTGTTTCGGTATGTCTTAATTAGTATAAAATTAGGTGTTGTGTTGCATTGTAAAACACCTAGACTTGTATTTTTTCACTCCTTCAAAATAATAAAAAGAGAATTCCCAAAAGTCCAATCTCATTTTTCGATTTGTCCTTTAGCGATCCAGTAAATTGGAACCAACATTTGAGGTAGGGGACGAGGCAATGCAGATGCCTTGCAAGCACGTTTGTCATGAGAACTGCATCATTCCATGGCTCAAACTGCATAATTCTTGCCCGATGTACTGGTACGAGCTATTACCTGTCGTGGGATATGAGAGCGGCGGGTGCTAGTTGGGGGGTGAAGTGGAGGAACGAGGCTGGCTTCAGCTGTCGGGGAAAAAGAAAGGAGTTCGGGACACAGGGCGATGCAGAGGAGGGTTAGAATCCCGCTTCAGTGGTCTTTGAGAGGTTTTGGATCACAGTGATAATTGCGAAGGTACAAACAATAATGAACACATTCTACTTGGATTTTAAAGTATTCCTTCAAGTAAGATGAACTTGAAATTCTTTATATGAAATTCATGGTTCATCCCTGAATCTATCAACAATTAAAGTTTAATTTTTCGGCTCCCACTCATATTTACTTGCATACCGTAATTAGTAAGAGCATATACTCATTTGATCCAGAAGAATGCCTAAGAATAGAAACTTTTGGGGGCTCTTATAGGCAATTCCTCATTATTATAGTTATTAGTAATACAGATTTCAGCCACATACAGAGTTATTTTTTTTGATTAGATGCACCTCCGATTAAGGATCTACTAGTCTATCAAAGTCACCTGAAGTAAAAAAAGAGAAAAATTAAATTATATTTATGAGAATATAAATAGTCATGATTCATGCATGATACAATCCACTTCATCAAAAATTTCATTCCTCAAATTAACAATCAATCAGCATTAAAAATATAATCATGAATTACTATTAATAGAAAATTGTTTAAAAATTAAAATAAAATAATTCACATTGACATCTGCATCTAATTCTAAATCATGCAAATTTAATCTACAATAAGGTAACTCTTATATATATAAAACCTTAAAAAGAAAAAAAATGTTACATAATGAAAAAAATTAAGGTAAACATTAACCTAAGATTCTACAGATAAGAATATATTAGCTTGGATGACCAGGAGAATGGAGATCAAGGAGTTTTCTCTGCTTTCTAGTTTTGTAGCTTCTCTCTTCCATCCAAGTGAAGATGCCAAATGATCAGATTAGTACTACCTCTTCTTTGTGCAGCTCGAGCTAGCCTTGTTCCTCCTCGTCGACCCCCACTAACAACCGCTACTCTCATAACTCACTGCACGTAATCAAGATCGAAGTAGCTGGGAAGCTCATACCTGAACACCAGACAAGAATTAAGCAGCTCGACCCATGGAACGATATAATTCTCGTGAGTGCCATGGCGCTTTCTAGACACCCGAGACCATCTCCTTTTAGACTTCTATAATCGGTAGAGCATCTAGTACCAACCTCGTTGCCAGTGGAGGGCCGTACTGGTTTGGATTGTTCTCAATGTTTCTGGTGAATGTATCACTGCCTTCTTCGTCGCCAATGAAGGTGACTTGGATGCTTGCGCAGCGAAAGAAAATCTACTCAATGTAATCCTGAACAAAGAGCTACGAATTGAAGCCCAGATTGTCGGGTGACCGCATGAGGGAAGGAATGGAGTCGAGGCCCATGAGATCGGCAAAGTCTCCGGAGTTTTGAATTTTTACACTGTCAGGGTTGCCACTATTGAGAACAAAGCCCACGATGTTGTGGGTACATATTTATGTACAAATGTTCATTATTTCATTATTCCTGGGCCTAGACTTTGTTGATCATCTGGGCCTAGACTCCATTCATTCCCTCATGCAGTCACTGGATGTTATTGTATGGCTCATATACCATATCGGGACAAACGTTGGATCGAAGCGGAGCGGAGCGGAAGAATCTGTCCAAATCGGGAAGTTACATTATGTGGGTTGGGGGTGTTGGGTCAACGCCCCCAACCCACATAATGTAACTTCCCGATTTGGACAGATTCTTCCGCTCCGCTCCGCTTCGATCCAACGTTTGTCCCGATATGGTATATGAGCCATACAATAACATCCAGTGACTGCATGAGGGAATGAATGGAGTCTAGGCCCAGATGATCAACAAAGTCTAGGCCCAGGAATAATGAAATAATGAACATTTGTACATAAATATGTACCCACAACATCGTGGGCTTTGTTCTCAATAGTGGCAACCCTGACAGTGTAAAAATTCAAAACTCCGGAGACTTTGCCGATCTCATGGGCCTCGACTCCATTCCTTCCCTCATGCGGTCACCCGACAATCTGGGCTTCAATTCGTAGCTCTTTGTTCAGGATTACATTGAGTAGATTTTCTTTCGCTGCGCAAGCATCCAAGTCACCTTCATTGGCGACGAAGAAGGCAGTGATACATTCACCAGAAACATTGAGAACAATCCAAACCAGTACGGCCCTCCACTGGCAACGAGGTTGGTACTAGATGCTCTACCGATTATAGAAGTCTAAAAGGAGATGGTCTCGGGTGTCTAGAAAGCGCCATGGCACTCACGAGAATTATATCGTTCCATGGGTCGAGCTGCTTAATTCTTGTCTGGTGTTCAGGTATGAGCTTCCCAGCTACTTCGATCTTGATTACGTGCAGTGAGTTATGAGAGTAGCGGTTGTTAGTGGGGGTCGACGAGGAGGAACAAGGCTAGCTCGAGCTGCACAAAGAAGAGGTAGTACTAATCTGATCATTTGGCATCTTCACTTGGATGGAAGAGAGAAGCTACAAAACTAGAAAGCAGAGAAAACTCCTTGATCTCCATTCTCCTGGTCATCCAAGCTAATATATTCTTATCTGTAGAATCTTAGGTTAATGTTTACCTTAATTTTTTTCATTATGTAACATTTTTTTTCTTTTTAAGGTTTTATATATATAAGAGTTACCTTATTGTAGATTAAATTTGCATGATTTAGAATTAGATGCAGATGTCAATGTGAATTATTTTATTTTAATTTTTAAACAATTTTCTATTAATAGTAATTCATGATTATATTTTTAATGCTGATTGATTGTTAATTTGAGGAATGAAATTTTTGATGAAGTGGATTGTATCATGCATGAATCATGACTATTTATATTCTCATAAATATAATTTAATTTTTCTCTTTTTTTACTTCAGGTGACTTTGATAGACTAGTAGATCCTTAATCGGAGGTGCATCTAATCAAAAAAAATAACTCTGTATGTGGCTGAAATCTGTATTACTAATAACTATAATAATGAGGAATTGCCTATAAGAGCCCCCAAAAGTTTCTATTCTTAGGCATTCTTCTGGATCAAATGAGTATATGCTCTTACTAATTACGGTATGCAAGTAAATATGAGTGGGAGCCGAAAAATTAAACTTTAATTGTTGATAGATTCAGGGATGAACCATGAATTTCATATAAAGAATTTCAAGTTCATCTTACTTGAAGGAATACTTTAAAATCCAAGTAGAATGTGTTCATTATTGTTTGTACCTTCGCAATTATCACTGTGATCCAAAACCTCTCAAAGACCACTGAAGCGGGATTCTAACCCTCCTCTGCATCGCCCTGTGTCCCGAACTCCTTTCTTTTTCCCCGACAGCTGAAGCCAGCCTCGTTCCTCCACTTCACCCCCCAACTAATCTCTGTGTTCTTCTGGATTTGTGTCGATTACTGTCTTTATTCGCCCTAATTTTCTCAACACTGGACAATCCAGACTTCGATCTGTCGTTCAGAATTACATCGAGTGGATTTTCTCCGACAGCTCAAGCATCCAAGTGGCGTTCAATGGAGACGAAGGAGGCGGCGACACATTTGCCGGAAACATGGAGAACGATCCAAACCGGTACGACCCTCTGCCGACAGCGAGGTCGGCGCTAGAGGTTCTAACAATTAGAGAAGTCTCTGCTGAGATGGTTTCAGGCGACGAGAAAGCACATTGAACTGTCTGCATGGATGCGTTTGAGGTAGGGAACGAGACAATGCAGATGTCTTGCAAGCACGTTTACCACGAGAATTGCATCGTTCCGTGGCTAAAACTGCATAATTCTTGCACGATGTACAGGTACAAGCTCCCCACCGACGATCCTGATCACGTGTCGCTAGATATTAGAGCGGCAGATGCTAGTGTGGGGCGAAGTGGAGGAACGAGGCTGGCTTCAGCGGCCGGGGAAGAAGAAAGAAGAAGTTCGGGACGCAAGGCAATGCAGAGGAGGGTTAGAATCTCGCTTTCGCGGTCTTTGAGAGGTTTTGGTTCACATGCTCAGCGGAGCGATAATGGTGAAGATACGAACGATAGTTACAATAATTCTAGCTTGGATGAGGATTTTTAAGCTCCACATTTGAATGATCCTGAATTTTTCAGTCACATTCTACTTGGATTTTGAAGTATTCCTCCGAGTAAGATGATCTTGAAATTCTTTATATAAAATTCATGGTTCATCTCTGAATCTATCATCAATTAAATTTTATTTTTCGGCTCCCACTAACATTTACTTGCATACCATAATTAGTAAGAGCATATATGTTCATTTGATCTAGAAGTATGCCTAAAAATAGAAACTTTTTTGGGGGGCTCTTATAGGCAACCCCTCATCATTATAGTTATTAGTAATACATATTTGAACCACATACAAAGTTATATTTTATGATATGATGCACATCTGATTAAGGATCTACTATTCTATCAAAATCACCTGAAGTAAAAGAAGAGAAAAAATAAATTATATTTATGAGAATATAATTAGTCATGACTCATGCATGATACAATCCACTTCATCAAAATTTTCATTCCTCAAATTAACAATCAATCAGCATTAAAAATACAATCATGAATTACTATTAATAGAAAGTTGATTAAAAATTAAAATAAAATATATCACATTGATATCTGCATCTAATTCTATACCAAAGTGATTTGTGTGGTATGTATGTAAATCTTTATTTTTTAAAGGACATCTACCAATAACAACTCCAACAAATTTAGCTAAATAAACATATAGAGCGATACCCAAAATAGGCTCAAATCTCATTTGACCTTGGCTTAGCTCGGGTCAAGTTCTAAGGTGCTAAGCTTGCCCTATGCTAAGTCAGATTGTGTCAAAACCACACTTAATATTTTCCAAAACAAAATAAATAAGAATATATTAGCTTAATCTTCTAAATAATATTTATAATCTAAACAATAAATCTATTACTAATTTATTATAGTAGTTAGAATGTTATTAATGAAATACTTAATATAACTACTATTTTCTAACTGTAATTATTATTGTAATGAATCTAGTCATTTTAAAATCTATAAAATTCTTTTTTAATAAACTCTTTCAAAATAGTAGTAATTAAAATCATTACTTTAATAGCTGCTTCCAAAATAAAAATTACAAAATCATAGTTGAGATTAATATTGATTAATAAACTAAAAATAAAATTGTCATAATATGTTGGAAAAACTAATTTTCTTGCGTTAAATTCTTTCCATTAGTTATTATCGACGGGAAGTGCATGAATAAAAATTTACATAAAAACATACTAGTTTTATGTATTTCTATATCAAGTACACATTCAAATATATATATATATATATACATACATATATATATAGATACATACATATATATATATAGATACATACTATATATATATATATATATATATATGTCAGATTATAAATACATACATTTGGTCGCATTATATGTGATTTTTTTTATAGTTGCAATAACAGCCGCCTACTTCAATTTTTATGCTATCTGATAGCTACTACCCGCAACATCATCCCTTTCACTGCAGGGAAAATGCCTTCCGCCGCCGATCCCAACATCCCGCATTACTATTATTGCCACCCCTGTGATACAACAGTATCTATCGTGCCTATCGACAACGACCCCGTCTGCCCCATCTGCGGCGGTAGCTTCATCGAGGAGGTCAATATTCCGGAATTCAACTCCCGCCGCAACAGCATTGAAATCCGAAACTCCGGAGACTTTGCCGAGCTCGTCGGCCTATACTCCACTCCTTCCAGCTCACAGTCACCCGACAATCAGAACTTCTATCCGCAACTCTTCCTTCAGGACTACATCGAATCGCTTTTCTCCGGCGGCACAAGCATCGAAGTCACCTTCAATAGCGATGATGAAAGAGGCGGCGATACATCCGCCAGAAACATCGGCGAATACGTATTGGGCTCAGGCTTCGAGAATGTCGTACAACAACTTTTTGAGAACGATCCAACCCGATACGGCCCTCCGCCGGCTGCGAGGTCGGCAGTCGATGCTCTGCCGATTATAGAAGTCTCCCAAAGGATGGTACGCGTCGAAGATGCGCATTGCGCTGTTTGCATGGATGCGTTTTTCGTAGGGGACGAGGCAATGCGGATGCCTTGCAAGCATGTTTATCACGAGAACTGTATTGTTCCATGGCTCGAACTGCATAATTCTTGCCCGGTGTGCAGGTACGAGCTCCCCACCGACGAGCCTGACTACGTGTCACGAGATATGAGAGCGGCGGATGCTAATGGGTGGCGAAGTGGAGGAACATGGCCGGCTTCGGCGGCCAGGGAAGAAGAAAGCAGTTCGGGAGGCAGGGGGATGCGGAGGAGGGTTAGAATATCGCTTCCATGGCCTTTTGGTTTTAGCTCGCGCTCCTGGTGGAGCGATAATGATAATGGTGATGGTACGAATGATGGTTCAAGCTTGGATGAGAATTTTGAAGGCTTACACATCAATGATCGTTATGGTCATGGCCACGGGGAATCGGACTGAGCGAAGATGCTATAATTATGGGTGCAAAAGATCCAATGGTTGAATTATACTGGAAAAAATAGAATTAAGTGACAATATGTAAATCTTCTTGTATTTTAATTTCATGAAAAAAATTAAAAGTTTATTAATTAATATATATTAACGAATGATTAAAATCAATTGATATTATACACTTAAGATAGGTAGTATAATACTTATTCGTAATTAAATTCTAACAAATAAGTAATTTTTAATATGAACTTTGGTTCGATGAGTTCAACTTTTATCAAAATTTTGGCTGGTTTGGTTTTCTCGGATTTTGGATTTTAATTGCAATTGATTTGATTAATTTGCAAATCGATCCATCCGAGCAGATGAATGCAGAACTCCATATTTATGTTATTCAAATCTTTCATATCCCATAAAGAGATATTTTTATTTTGACCTTTAAAAAGTAAAATAGATCATTTCATGCATAGGCTAAGTGGTATACATGTAAGAAATTGAATTTTGGGTATTAGATTTCTAAATAAATCCATAGGAATTAAGTGGTACATATGTGAATCATTCTAAATTGAATGGGCGTCTTTTTAAAGACTTAGGACTGTTAAAAAGGCTCGTTGTTTGTGAACAACTCGTTTGGTTCTAAATACAACTCATCAATTATATATATATATATACATATATATAATA